GGATCTGCAGAAACATTTCCTAGAGGTGCAGGATTCTTTTGCTATTGTCCTCGACGACCTACAGAAGACGAAAGAAGAATTGCTAGGCGATCTAGGGAAACTTCGCGAAGAGTTGCTGGCCGCGATGGATGCGGTGGGCTGCGACGAATACAACAGCGAGGTGGAAGAAATAGAGAAGGAAGTGGACGAAGTATCCACAAAAATAGACTGGCAGATAGCTGGGAATGTGCTGTTCGCCGTTTTGGGTATTGGAGCGCTTGTTTGGGCCGCCAGACAAGAACCCAAAGTCGTGTACAAATATATTCCAGAGCCGCCAAAGCCTAGGGAGCCACCAAAAAAACCAAGCTCTCGAATTCCGGAGATGGAGTAGTGCAAAGAGTTCCAAATTCCTATCTTTGCAAAGAGTCCAAAAAAAGGTTTTCGTATTTCTTGTTGCTTGTTAGCAATCCCACAACAAAACAACACGAAATACGAAGACCTACTTTGGAAGGCCGCTGTGGTCCAAAAAGATCTATGCAATATCCTAGGTGGACACGTGCACCAATCTATCCTTTCTTTTGTTTGCGGTGGTCTTTTCCCTGCCTATCTTGCAGTACAAAGGCGGTGGAGATGTCCAGTCTATTTTTTGCGCCTCCAAGAAGTGTCCCCAAACGGGCGTGGTTGCATGTTCCGCCGTGCAGCCCTCCAATACGCACTCGGAGCATCGGCTGGACAGGAACAGGATGGTTCTTTCTTTGCCCCTGTAGGTGGTTTTTGCGTATTTCCAGCATTGGTATTCGCCCGGCTGCATGTGTAGCGCCTGCACGCATTCTTTGTTTGGCGGCGCTGGAAGTTCCAGTAGTCTGGATGGATTTTTGGGTATTGCATAGTCTATCTTTGCCGCCAATTCGTGGTAGGTGTCCAAACCGGGGCCTTCGGGTACGAAGATCGTAGCTGCGTTGTTCTGCCACTCCAACAATATTTCCTCCCCCGGCACCGCTGTATGCACGTAGCCGCTTTCGAACTTTCCTGCCGCGAATGCATCCAACATTGCAGCCGTAGCCCAAGCCMCCGACGCTTCCTTGCCGCTGCGTAGGACTACGCGGTGCCCTTTGGCGGGCCAATCGGGGTCTTTGTTCCTTGGTTCTACGTATCCTAGTATTTTGTAGTCGCCCGGGRGAATTTCTTGCATGCGGTGTACCTTCGTATGTGTTTCGAACAGCAACTCGCACAGCTTGCGGCTGCGCCGGCGAGTCCTATCCAACAGCTTTTTGTGCTTTTCCAACTCTTCTTCTATCTTTCGCCTGTCTGCTTCTTTTTGCCGCAGGATGTTCTGCTTTTGTTCCGACAGTTCTGCGTGGTATCTTTTCGTGGCTTCGACCCACTCGTC